GTAAATCTATCTAGTTTTTTTGTGGATGACCTAAATGCTTCATTCATAAGCCATTCGAATCGCCGTTTGACGAGCAACAAAAATATGCATGCTTCGCTTTTCTAAAAATTCCTTTCCTGTGTTGAGATACGGTACCCACAATAGGAGAGGTCCAAAATCGCTCAAGTGAGTTTCGAATAAAAAATTCATTTTTCGATCAAAACTGATAGAAAAGCATTGTATAGGTTAAAAACTATCGGCAATTCAGGGGACATATTTCTGGGACTTCTAGATGATTTCCAGAAGATCTCTAGAAAAGCTTATTGGACACATGCCCTTGGCTATTCAAGTTCAAATGATTATGTATTTTTTTTACGTTACTATGTTTGTATGCTTGAATAAAAAATAGTAAAACACGTTTCAAAACCTAGAATACAGGACAGTTCTTTAGAATACTAATATAAGAAACAGAAAAAGGATATAAAAACTAAACGTATTAATCATCTATACTGGCGTTCGTTATTTTACGATGGTTTATTATTTTGTCTTCACACAACCCACTGAAAAACATTGTTAAAACTTCACGGTAATCTTTTCCTTCGTTGTATGCCTTGACTGTTTTCCAAAAACGACGAAAAAGCTTTAAATGAATTTGTTTTTCCACGAATTTTGCTTTCGCTTCAGGCATCAAAGTAACTAACTTTTGAAAACTTTGATCGGTATATTTTCTAATATATTGCGTTGAATGACATTAGTAACCTTCGATTGGATTTGTTTCACAATGGAACTTCGGTGTAAATACAATTTTAACATTATATTCTGTGGTCAATTTTTCAAGCTTGCTTACCTTTAATTTTTGAAAAGAGACAAAAGTAATGCGCGCAATTTTCTATAGACAATAAGTGTAACTCAAGCTGAACTCACATTTTTGAAAGCTGCATGTTCAGATATCAAAGATTTCAATTCTTTGAGATTTCAATTTTTTGGGGAACAAAAACATTCAATTCATATGTCAGAGCCAGTAAACCTTTACTATTTCCGTCATCGGCATAACACTCAATTGTTCTTTTTTGATTTTTTTCATCAATAAAATCGATCTTATCAACAGGACATCTTGTACCAAGCTTCATTCCAAAGTCATTCACACTAAATTCAGCTGCTGTATGAGTTCTGGCGTTGTCAACCAGACAGACGAAACAATGATCTTTGTATTCTTGTTTGAAGGACAGTAGCCGAAACAAGCATTGAAATTGATTCAGAATATTTTGATTGTCAAAATAATTATCACCACCAACATTGATCGTAGCTGAAGCACTGTTTTTCTCATAATTGATGACATCATCAACATCTAGACCTGGATTTTTTCCCTGGATCAACTTTTTTAATGTCATTCACTTCATAGAAACGTTTATCAATAAATCTTGCTAACGTTTCAGCCGTGAAAGATGCTTCTTTTTTTGAACATTCTTCATATACAAACTGTTTTGCTTCTAATTCTAAATCTGGATGAAGATCCCAAAATGAATCACCTCTTTTACCACGTCTTTCATCTTTGGTAAATTCATCAAAATCATTATTTACCACAATATTTGACCATTTATGGGACGTTCTTGCTGTCATTCCACCAATTTTTGATAAGAATGCTTCAACTTCTCTCCAAGAATGTCCAAGATGACGTAATGACATATATAATAAAACACTGATAAACTGACTATTAATTTGTTTACAAAAGGAAAATAGATCAGTAATATCATTTATTGTAGATTCATTTGTGAAATTAATACGATTAAACTCATCTGGCTTAATGATTATTTCTTCCTCTTCAGTCGACGAATTTTCTGATTCTCTCGTTGAAATACTGTCTCTTGATCGTCTGTGAGCCAAACTCTGTGTGTGACTCGTTTGTTTTTTAACTTTTGGCATCTTGAATTCCGTGAAAAACTATTGAAAACTTGGAAAACGTTGAAATACTTTTGACCTTGAATGAATAAGAAACTACGATTTTTGTTGCGAGTACTACCTCCATTGATGCTCAAACCGGCCATTCACGAGGGAACCGCTCGAAGTGATTAAACGCTTTTTGATCGGAATCGAATACGACCATGGCGCTACCCCATAGCCCTTCGAAGACCTGGTTTTTTAGAAAACCAGTTTTTCAAAAACTCTAAAATATAACCCGAACCTTTCTTAATGAGGCATGATTGTAGCCCGCACATTTCTGATTAAAATGAGACATCTCCCAGCTTTGTACGAC